ATGCTAAGATTAGTAAGATTTGTTATACTTATTAAATAGTATCCTAAGGCGATACCACAGCTATTTTTCAAATGAGAATCAACTTCTTTTGCTTTAATTATTAAGCTAATTTTGTACTTATAAGTCTAAATAATTAAAAATATAGTCCAAACGTATATTTACAAATCCTATAATTATTAGACTCAACAATATAAATATTATCAAAGAAAAAAATGGGAGTACCTATCTAAGTATCATACATAAATACATTTATATTGTACAAATGTTGAAGTAAATTTATATTTATTATAAGCCTTTTGAAAATGTACAATTTAGTAAAAAACTTAAAATACTAATAAGTAATAGGTAAATGCTGTCGAATAGTTTGATTAGTAAGGAGAGAATATATTATAAAAACTATAGCTCCCTCACCAAAAATAAATCACTCCTAGTCATAATGTAATGTCTTGAAACCTAGAAAATGGCTAACTTTTCTTGTTAAAGAGGTCCATGCTTACAATTTCGTTATTAATAAAAATCCAAAATATTATAAAATTAAATTTATTCGTTTATTTGTTTTGGTAACATTAAAAAAATTATACACACGAATCTCATGATTAGAAAAGTTGGCTACTTCATCGTCTTTAAAATTAAAACTAAGTTTAACGCTAGTAATATTCAATTTTCAAATATTGAGTAGGTATTTCTCTTTAAAAATATATACATTATTACAAAAAGATTAAGCAACTGAAGTGTACGGGTACTTGTATAACCTTGACCAACCTATAGTTTATCGCAGTATGTAAATATATTACAATTAAAATAATTATTCAAAATTCAATTGAATAAGCTAATTTATTTATTTATTTGTAGGTATAATATTAAGTTTTCAAGTTCAACTAGGTAAAAACTAATTTGGTAATAAAACGTTTTTTAAATCGACTTAACCAAATCAGAAATCTGTATAAACCTCATTAGAATACCCCTAGCCGTTTTTCTACTTTGAGCTATTTTAGCTAAAAAAAAAAATATGAAACACGTAAAAATATATATAAAATAATTTTCTACAATCTAAAAAACAACCTGTCATTACTCTTAGAAAATACATGTAGATTCTTAAAAAATAAAATATAGAAGAGACTACAATCTCAATAATCCAGCCTAACATCTAAACATTTTATCATATTCCAAAACACAACTCAATTTATACAAAAGAATATTTAGCACTATTGAAAACCACAAAAAACTGCGTCTACAGAAAACGATACAAAATCATACAGAAAGATTCACTCAATGTCTTAAACAACTAAGAGAAACTTATCCCCCTCCCCAAAAAAAAACATAAAGCTATTAAAATAAATACACTATTTAATACGAAAAATTTCGACAAAAAAAAAACACAATAATATTACTGGCAATAAAAAAAAGCAAAAAATACAACTAATGAACCTGTATTATTATGAAAGTATTACATTACATTATCTTGATACAAAACATCTTATAAATCACAACATAATATATCAAATATGACAACGAGAGACTATTGGAAAACAATAGGTTCAGAGAAATAAAATCAACCACCCTCCCTTGGGAACACGACAATTCATTGTCACGTAAACTGAAAATTGGCCACGCATAATACACTCACGAGCATATAATACATAACACAATAAAGAATAATGCGAACGCATCGCATGCAATGCTACAACTATTCAAACATCTGCTAACTAAATCATTTCAGATGAAAGATACCAGAGATACACCGTCGTGTGAAATATTATCACCCAACCTAAATATGGCCTAGAAATCTAATCATCCCAAAAAATCTAATAAATATAAATATATTATATATATTTTAATAAAAATGACACTATGAATTATATTTTAATTGAATTTTAATATGACATCAAAATATGCGATGTATTTTTTTAGAAGCATCAATAACTATAGCAAATTAAATATGTAAATAAATAGAAAAAATTATTTTAGTATAAATTATACATAACATGTGCTTTCCAATATTATAATATAGCCTTTATACAATTCGACTAGGTAATCCGTGAGAAATGTTTAGTTAATACCTTTAATACTTTGACGCAGATAAACAAACAATGCGCTAAAAAGATAACTAGCGATGATGTTGCCATGTCAGTTATTGAATATTATTATTTACTATTACAATCCAACTGACAGGCAACTGCCAATACTCGGTATCGTCCGACGGCACAACAAACCATTCCTTCAACACATTTCGAACCGTTTTCAAATAAAGTAATTTAAACATTTTATGCTGTTCATTTTTTTTTTTGTGTGTTAATTTATACACAATCCCTTAAGTCGTTCGCATTTTCATTTATCTCATTCTGGTTAAAACATTGATAATAATTAATCTAATTATTTACCACATTTATACTCATTTAATTGTTACAGAATGAACTAAAAAATATTTAATCTGTCTTCCAAACACGTGTTATAATTTTTTTTTTTAATTATACATAAATATCATTATAAAAATTAATGTAAGATTCAAATCACGTAGTTTAAATTGAATCTTGATCATTATTTATTAGTCTAATAAACCGTTCTTAGCTAAATCGTTTGTAAAATTCAACACAATGATGAAAAAACTAAATAATTGTATCACTCTAAAGCAGTATTAGCCATTAAGTATTCCTTATTCAATCAAATATAAAGTTAATAACTTATTAATATTCATTGAGTTAACAGATAGGTAAAAATGGTAACTATGATAATGCACCATTAATTTATTAATATCAAAGCTTATTGACAAGAGAAGAACAAAATGTATTACAATTACAAATATTAACTACAACTTTAAAGTATTTTGTAAGATCAAGATTTAGAAATTGTATTTATTTACTGTTTTATTTTTAGTACACTTAAAATATATTTAACACATTGATTATAATAATTGTATGTAATCGTACATTTGTATAATTTATAATGTCAAACAGAAAATGCTGTATTATTAATTTATTAATATCTATTTAATAAGTATGTAGAGTACAATAGAGAACTCGGATGTTTATTAATCTTATTTTATCAGTTTAGATAAATAGTAGGTCAATATAAAATAATCAAAAATCCAATCAAAATAATTAACCTTCCTAGTTCTTTTCTATTGAAATAAAATTGATGTTTGCTTGATCTATATTAGGCATATAAGTTTCACTTGAATTATCATAGTCTAAAACTATATATCTAGTTTATACAGAGTACAGTCATGAGGTAAGTAAAATCAACGTGGTAGTATATTATCTTATGGTATCAAATCACATAGTGAGAGTGAATAAGATTTACAAAGTTTAAACATGACGAAATACAGCTAAAATACAAATAACAAGACAAAAAAATTACCATTTTATTACCATTTTACAATAAACCGTGCTATAATTTAATGCTGTAGTCACCGCAATACACCAAAGAGTGTATACGCTCAAATTATTAGGATTAATTTACCGTGTAGTTAGATTTCGAAAAATAATAACGAAAACTGTGATCGGAAATATTTCTTATCTTCTCTGACATTTTAGTTATTAGTCGTGACGAAAACTAATGGTAAATAAAAATTAAAAAAAAAAAAAACTGTCGAGTCGTACCGCATGACAATAACACCTTTTCGTTGTTATTTATAATAGGGCGCTCCGGCGCTCCACCGATATTTACTGTCGTATTATGGTTAATCTAACGCACATACCACGATACAAACAATAAGAATATCGAGCAGTCACGGTCCTAATCGTAGTTAAAAAAATAAATGTCAAACAAATACTCATGGTAAAAAACAAAAACAAGTCACGTTTTTCGAGATAATAATTCTATCAATGGTGTTTCTTTCAATTTTTATCACGGGTAAATTATTATTTTACCCCAACGACCAAATTCGATAAAATAATATGTAATTATGTCGTTTTAGAACGAGTGTTTTTCGACGTGGCGAACTGCTACATTATAATCACCGACCACACACACGACCGCGATATGCAAAATTAATAACGGACGAACGTGCGTGAGGGTAAACCCAAGGGCCTATGCACAAACATCGTGGTAACATTCCCTCGGGGTATAGCTAATCGCATTATTGTGGATCAACTCGCCTGGCCTTATTTATGATACTAATTTAAACAAACAGCTTTTCATCGTTGATCACATTTACGGGAAAAACCGTGATACAACACATTTCTCTTCTTCGATCCGTTTCACGATGAAGGATGAGGAGTTTGAGATAATTATGAGAAAATAATAAATATCGTTTTATATTTTTCACCGCCCCCGCCAGACAGCGTACCACACCCTCCCCTCCTTCCGGCCGTCGTAACAGGCCGTCTAGGAAAATATTCCCAAGAACGTCGGCGACGAGTGGCGACAACACTCGCACGCACCGAACAACGCGACGTGTACGACCACTCTCCATTCAATCACAATTTAAAGTTTAATGTATATTATTATATACTTTTCATTATTTTGTTTTCGGTCAACAGACCGCACGACAGCGAGCAAGTACACGAACAATCCATAACGCAATCGACACGAAAAAAAAAACAGTTGCAGACCGTACGCAGACAGTCAGCGGCGACGGACCCGAGCGCTGCTGTAAACTGTTACAATACCGACATACAGACACGGTCGGAGCGGCGCACTCGTCAGCAGTCGCTGACGACGCAAAAACGTAATTTACTCGGCCGTCGAGAGCGCCGCACTAATTACAAGGCGGCCGGGCTCATTGTCTTTTGAAGTGGGCCGCGACAGCGGTCCGGATCCCACTACCCTTACGGCGGCCGCGCGAAGTGTCCGACAAGACATTGTTATTGTTAAGGTCACACCGCGCGCCGCCGACTTTGATACGCACTGTTGTCGACCGTTTTGTCATTGTGCGGTCGTGCGGCAGCCTCGTCGCGGCCGGGCGGAAGGCAAACGCATTACGATTGCCGCCGTCGGGGTGACCATAAAAACGCGGGGGGGCGTGAAACATGATATTATACTCGACTCCTGCTATTTACCTTGTGTGTCCCGGGTGGCGCGCGCCTTACAGTGTCTGGCCGTCAGCCGAGCCGATGAGACGCGCGTCATGCACGTGTGTCTCAAACGGGAGGCGCGACGACGACGACGACGTCTTATCGCTGTTCCCCGTGAAAATGGGGGCTCACACGCGCTGCAGAGTGCAGGGGCGGTCGACGTTTCCGCCAAAGTCACGGGACTCGGGACCGGCGGCGACACTAAACCGTACGCTGTACACGCACACCGCGACGACGCAACGACTATGCGAACGTAACAATGATAATATTATAATAATAATATTGTAGGCGCCAAGAGTGTACTGTTACGTGCGCCGCGGTTGTTGTGGAGAGCATAACGCGCGCGATAAGAGAAAAACGACGGTGATAAAAATGGTTCAGCGTTCGACCGCGTAGAAAATCTGCGCCGTCGACGAAAAACGCCGCCAAGTCCTCTAGTGGGTTTTCGAAACTCTCGTTCCGCCTCCTACACCTCCTCCTGCTACTCCTACACCACCGGTGGCGCGGTTAAACATTTAATAATAATAATAATAACATGCGATCATGTACACACATACACAGGCCACTACGAACGAACAATAACATAACCTAGAAACGCGCGCGTGAGTAAACTAGTATAATATTGTGCATGGTGCGTGCGCGCGCGCGCGTGTGTGAGCGTGTGAGCGTGTGATTATCGTCGGCAAATTCCGCAGCAGCAGTCGACGTCTGCGCGCGCCTTGAGGAGCTGAGCCTCCGCAACACCGACTCTCAGATGCGATCAGTCGTCGTTGCCGCCGCCGCCGCCGCCGCCGCCGCTGAGAGAGGGAGAATGTTTTTGTCCGGTCGTAGCGCATGCGTAAGACGGCCGCGGGGTCAAGGTCGGTCGCGTTCGACTTCGACTAGGCGGGCCGTCCGGCTGGATTTTAAGGGAATAACAACACCGAAAAATAATATACACAAGTGTATACAGGGTCATCAAATCCAACGATTATCCACGGCCAACGCTCTGTATAACGTATTTACGTATCACTCCGTTCGTTGTTATTCGAAGCGCATAGCTTGTTTCCCCATACCGCCGCCGCTGGACGTCTAGATCGCCGCCGTCATCGCGTTAGCGCACCAACTGAATAATATTTCGAAAACAATGTTTGCCAAATCGATACCTTTAATAGCCGTCTTGCCGTTTCCGCCGGGCCGCCGACGAAGGGAACAACTTATTACTATACTATAACAGTCTCCCCCCCGTCGTCCGGTCATACGACGATGCGACAATAAATATAGCCATTATTAGGATTTAAAATAGTTGTTACATGCGAGAGCCGTAGTCCTAGAAAACCAAAGTTCAATAGACCCGTGGTGGTAGCAAAACGACTGATGCATTACCATGAGCACCACTAGAGTATGAGATCACGATGCCTAGATTGGGGGGGGGAGGGTCGTGTAAAATAAGAGTTGAAAATAAACCGTAGAATAATAGCGCTCTCCTCGTCATTATAAATAAAATGTTAACAAAAAACAAGTATAATGTAATACTATTATAGTTATACATAAATAATTGTACTTATATAATATGTAATAACAGTACCTGTCTATTATTTGAATACAAAATACGAATGCTTATAAAATATCATTATCGATAATCTTATTATTATAGATAGTACCTAATAAGATATATTTATATATATATTTTTTATATTTTTTTATACATTTATTATAGTCAGATCCTTGAATCTATTTTGGCCTTTTGAATCATAATCAACCTGATGTATGTTCTGATTCTCCTTTTATATACATAAACTCGTACAGAGTTCATCCATATTATTCTACCAATCGCAATAGCTGTATATTATAAAGGTGCATATTAAATAGTTAATAATTATTTTATACACCAAACTCATTACAGCTTTTTTTTTTATTCAATGATTTGAATTTTAACCTGGAAAGGCTAAGAATTGAAAATGTATAGAAAGCTAGCCATTTATCATATATCCCTTAAGTTATGACTTATGCCAATGAATCAATAATAATATATCACATGACAAATGACGAATGACTTAAATAATTATAAAGACTGTAGATTACTAGCCCTATTTTATGAATTATGACGTGATACATCACAATAATAATACTACGTTACTACATTACTACCAAATTTTACTCTGATGAGCATTGACGGGAATCAGTGAACTGGCAAACAAAATGTGTGTATGTTACAATAATAGACCGCCGGCCACTATAAACTCAGTCATGCGTACTTGACGATTGAAAATATAATACAGTGAACGTTTTGAACACGTGTTCCTCGGGAGAATTATATTCTACGTCGTATTAGCCGTATCGGAATACAAATTAACGTAGTATAATAACCAGAATAATATTATAGCAGGATCGCGGTGAATTACGCGTGTACAATATTGATCGTCAGCAAATCGATTGTTGATGAATTTATCGTAAGCGATATTATGAATGAAATGATGATTATCATACGAGAAATAAAAGGCGATACCCATTTACACTGTATTCTTTCCCCTTTTTGCGACTCGTTTGCGCACAAATGTACAACTCGATTATGCACACGAATTTTTATTAACTCCGTTTGAATGACCCAAACGTAAACTTGTTTGCGTACATAAGCCATAGCAAAAATCTACCGAAACTCAAATAAACTTTTTAAGAGAATGATCGTGTTTAATTACTTTGTAAAATTGTTTTCAAACATTTTCCTACTCAGTTTTACAAGAAATTAGTATCTCGCTAACGTTCCATGTTCAACTGTTATACAAAAATGTATAATAATCGTAGCTTAAAATGGAGTAGAATTATTACTAGCAAAAATTGTAACTTGACTTATACTTCATTCAATTAATACTCGTGTTTTATCGAAATATTTAAGATGCATCAAATCATTATCTTGCATTATGTACTACAAGTTAAAAATGTTACAATGTTAATCGAAATTGGGAATAAGATTTAATAGTTGTATACAAACGAGTTGTCAATTTACAGTTAAAAAATTGTGTAGGTACTGTTCGCAAATGAGAATCACTGAAAATAAATTATACTATTGTAAAGTGTAATTTACTTATGGGTTTTCATTTTTATGTGGAATTTAGGTACATTCTACATTTCTACGTGTGATTTAACTAACGGATTTTGTTGATATGTTTTATGTTTAATATTATAAAATAATAAAAAAAAATCTTTATTAAACAATTTAAAATGAATAATATAAAATTTAATTAAAGTAATAAAATAAAATCAAGTATTTTCATTCTATATTATTTTTCTGATGCTCTTTTTAAAATAAAAAATTATCTCTTAATTTTTGAAAGTTTCTTTGATTATACAAAGAATATGTTTTCTTTGGAATATTCAGAATAGATAAAAGACACCAATGATTTTGGAGTTGCCTGTTCAAAAATGGAGATGCATCATTTGTTTAATGCTATATTTTTTTCTTTTATCTCTACGTAAGTGCGCTAGTAAATATTGGTTTAACAAAATTGTCGCTATATAATTCATTGTCTTATGAATGAATCCATAATTTTGCGATGTAGAAAAACGCCCTTCATTGATCGCTGTGTATAGTTGACCCATATCCAACTTCTCTTGTGATAATAGACAGTAATATTTGATGGTCTAATTTTTAAATAATAAAAAAATTGTTTTCAAAATTTCACCATTGCAACAACATAATTATACTATACCATAAATATATTTTTAAAAACGAGTTTTAATCAAAAACCACTGTTGACAGCCGGTAGAGTACTCACGTTAATACTTAGATCGCACATAACAGTTGCACCAATAAAGTTCTAGAAAGGAATATAAGAAACACATAATTTAAAATTTAATTCCTCAAATTTTCTAAGTATAGTTAATTATAATATTACAATATTTAACATTATAAGTTATAATTAAATTACTATAAATCTATTAATTAATATCATCTTGTATTTTAAATTATTGTTTACAAAAAAAAAAAAAAACTGCATAATTGATTGTATTATGATACTTGTATAATTTGTAATTCGCACTTAAACATTTTATAAATTATTAACTATGTGTAATGTGTAATTTTTATTTGACGATAAATTATTTTAGCGATCAATTTACCAAATTTCGCTAATATACACCATGCGCACTTAAACATACACTCCATTATATGTCTAGTCTAGACATAAAAAGTCGGAACCCTAAGTCCTAATGGATCATTAATGAGTTTGACGCCACAAAAAACTCAATTCTCAAGTCTCAACTAAATAACTATCAAGATGTTTACAATCCGTATTTTGGTATGGTTACGAGAAAAACGAATTCTGATTATCGGCTCATCGTTTAGGTAGTCATGATAATCGAAAAGCACCTACCAAATAAACGATAGCTTAAAAAAACCTAGAGTTGAGAATCGAATGGGATACCAGTTGGTTTTAAAAAACTTATTGATATTACTACTGCAACAGCTAGGTACATAATTTGCAGAAAAACATATATTTTATCAGATGACTCCCGGTTCATTAATCAATTCTTACCAAGTGTCAAACATTAACACGTGCGCAATTTAAATAAAAAAAAATAAATAAACAATAAAAGAATTGTCTTAAAGTCAAGACATTGATAGTATAATAATTATAATTTATAGCACAAGTGCATGTAGCACCTAATTGTTCATTCTTCCAGAAGCGTATTATTGCATTGTGTATCCCTGATACAGGCATACAGCTGTATGTACTAGATGTCTATGTATATATTATACACTTTTATATTTATTATTTATAATAAATATTCGTCATTATTCATGAAAAAAGTAATGATAACAAGGGTTCATATTGGTATAAAAATCCAATAACTACTCTCTATAGGTACCTATAACCTGTATAATAGTTAGACATTGTTAATTAATGTGGTCATGAGTTAGAAGGGGTTACAATATTGTATAAAAATGCTATTCAGCTATTATATAAAAAATTAATGATAACTCTCAATCCATATAAAAATACTGTAGGCCTATATAATGTATACACTCTAAAAACGATCAAAATGGAATAATATACTTTATTTTATTTAATGTTCTATTATGTTATACATGTTAGTCTGGTTTCATAACAATAACAAAAGACTTTTTAATAACAAAGAAATATCTTGATCAATAAGCATTGCTTATTACTAACCTAACCGTATATATATATATATATATATATATATATATATATAAATACATATTAAAGAAAAAATGGATGTCTGCAGAGCCGTATTAATAAGGGGGAGCAAACGAGACAAGAGTTTTAGGCTTTGGGGGAAAAAATAATAGAAATTTGGGAAATTAATCAATATTTCTTTGTAATTTGGTTAGTTGTTTTTATAATAATATACTATTTTTATTTTATAGAAATTACAATTATAAAAATAACCAATAAGTACATACAATAGCGGTATAATTAAAATTAATTACAAGTATTATATAATTCAAAATTATATTAAAATAAAAAAATAAATATTTTAAAACTGCGATCATTTATAATTAATATTTAACGTGGAATAGATATAGACTAG